ATATTCAAAAACAGCTATATTACACACTACATGAAAGGTAATATCTGAAAAAGCATAATAGGGGCATTTTGAATAGATATTATACACCAAAACAAAAATCTATTATCTACTCGCCATCATTTTGTTCCAAATCTGTATGAGTTTCCGGTAACACTATTTTAAGGTGACTCAGTAACACGTAGATACATTTTACTACTAGTAATAACAGTGAATTATGCATAATTACAAGTAAGGTAATCCTAAACAATCCCTAACTGCAATTTATTGTAAGTACATACACAACTTGAATGATGATTCCTGAATTCCTACCTGTTGACAGACCCTCAGCCAGTTCAACATCATCACTGTAGGACTCAGGCCTGCAAATAGTCATAGTCACAAATGTTTTACTTTGAGAATCCCAGTATTAAGAAAGACTGTTATTAGATTTTTCTATTACCACAATGAGAATTGGGGTATATGCCGTCTTAAATTAAAGCTGCTTTAGTAAACAACAAAATATTGTGTTAAATGTTTTATGCTGGATCATTATGGCTAGCTAAAACCATAAAATCCTTTACTTTTCTTGTTCTTTTAGTTTAACATGATGTTCTAAAAATAACCCATAGACATTTAAAAATTAAAAATAAATAAATAAAAACAAACAATACTAAACCTTTAACTAAAAATACATTTAAACCAGAAAATAACAATTATAAAAAAGTAAAAATGATTACATAGTATTATTTAAAACTATAATAGTATTTCAATGCTACTAAAATAACAACAAAAAAGTATATATAATATATATATATATATATATATACACACACACACACACACACACTTAAAACAAGATTTAAAACGATAAAAAACTACTAAAAATATATAAAACAATGAAATGACTAAACCTTTAACTAAAAGTAAAATTAAACCTGAAAAAATAAAGAATAATTCAAAGTATTATTAAAACTAATGCTACTAAAATAACTATTTTAGTCAAAACAATTATCTAAATTATCACAACAAAGTTGTGGGGACTGGCAGATTACAATAACCCATATACTGTAATCATAAATACAAAAAAAAATGCATTATTGTAATGAGAATTTTAAATAATAATAAAGAAATAATGGACCAATTTGGTTATATATCTATGCAAAAGAAGAGTTCTTATTTTTTCATTTAGCTTTAGGGGAGACCGCGAGTGTTAATGCATGGTCTCACCTGGGTCTGTCCACCGGTACATTATATTGATTCAGAATGTGGGTCAGTCCATTTATCGCCACAACACGAGAGCGATTCTCCATCCAAAAGCTGTACTCTCTCTCCAGTGCTGGCAAAACCTGCCTAAACACACACACACAGCGCTCATGCGGTGCAGAGGTGTTGTTCAGAGCGCTTGAGCGCAACACCTCAATATTCAACAGCCCTGCAGAAAGGCAATTTAGCAGGAAAGGTTACCCGAGGAAGTCTTTGTCTCTGGTGACCTCATAGAAGCTCTCCACCATTATGGGAAGGAAGGGAGGCTGACTGCGCCGCTCGTAATAAACCCGACCGCCGTTTGGGACAAAGCCGTATCTAAATGGGGGTGAAGGGATAATATTTAATAAAATTCATTATTACTACAATTTTAATTTAATTGAGCAATTAAATTTCACAAACTGAGGCAATATTTAGTTAAACCAAAAAAAATCATAATGATTATGATGTGAGGATGAATAATGAGTGCCAGAATTTCAAGTGAAATGTTTAGTTGTACTGTGTTGAAACAAAACTGCTGTGTGAAGTTTTTGCACAGCATTTAATAGACTGTTAAAAACATGTGTGTGTGTGTGTGTGCACCTTTCCACAAGGAACGCGAAGTTCAGAATCATTCCTCGAGCCGTCTCGGTCATCTCAGACAAAAGGAGGCCGTTTAATACCCAATATGAGTCCCTGGAGAGCAATGTATGAGCAATAACAGTGATACTGGCATTAGCAAGTACCACTAATCATTGTGCAAATACACTGAACAAAATTATAAATGCAAGACTTTTGTTTTTGCCCTGATTTTTCATGAGCTGAACTCAAGAATCTAAAACTTTTTCTATTTTTCATTTTCTTTTACAAATCTGTCTAAATCTTTAGGATGATCTCAGCAAAGGAGAAGTGCTCATTTACACACATTTAGACATTTGTGAACAGTATTTGAGAGAAATATGCCTTTTGTGAAACATAGAAAAAGTCTTATGGTGCATTCACACCGGACGCGAATATTCATTTCATTTAATCATTTAGCTGACTATAGCATAGCGCGAATGATTTCAATGTTAAGTCAATGCAAAGACGCGTTACGCGCGTAAAAAATTCCTGCGGCGCGACTATGCCTCATTCGCGCATCAATTTTGTGCGAATTGACCGTCTGGCGCGTTAAGCGCGAATGATTTAGTTAGTGCTATTTGTACATTCACGCGTTTGACGCGAATTCGCGTTCAGTGTTCTTGTGTTTATGTATTTGGTAAAGAGAGAAACTAACCAGTAATAGAGTTCCCTAAAGCGGCCTCCGGGCACGACGACTGGGTGTGGGGTGAAAATCTGCGAGTACATCTCTGGATGGTCTCTGACATCATCACGGATCTGCACAGCCATGAATACAGTAATAAGACAAATATTATTGAAGTTGTAATTAAAACAGATATTGATTGTATCAATATTATTGGCTTTTCTGCTAAAATTACATTTCTCTGTTATCTGACATTACTTTGTAATTGTGAAATTTAATAGCAATTACTTTAAAGGACAAGTTTGGTATTTTACAACTAAAGCCCTGTTTAAAGATTGTTTCTAATGAAATAGAATGGTTAAGAATGTTTTTTAGACAAATGCTGCCATCCCGAGAATTTTCAGTTTCTGTGGTTGGAAACGGAAATGGGGTTGTTTGTATTCTTTCTGTAGTCTTATGCAGTCGCGGTTTCGTAGGCTACACTATACAAGTGGTTTGCTTGCAATTGGCAAAGGTGCATTATCGCCACCAACTGGGCTGGAGTGTCTATCATTCACGCTCTCAACGGAAGAATGTACGGTCATGAGGCGTTCGGAAAAATAGGTCTACAGTTTTACAACGAATGGTAAAAAACCTGTTGTAAAGCAACTTTTGCAGTGATTTTTGTGTGAGCATATCACTGAACACCCAGACCACTCTGTGAGTTATATGTCTTTGTAAACTAAAGTTTTATGTGTTTTATGAAGGATTGTTCCTGTGCCCCTATGCTACCATTGTAGAGGTGGGGGGGACAGCAGCATTTGTCTGAAAAAAAAAATCTTAACCATTCTATTTCATCAAAAACGATCTTAAAACAGGGCTTTAATTGTAAAATACTGAACTTGTCCTTTAAGTGTTTTAACACTTTTTTTTTTTCAGCTGTATTGTACATTGTTGAAAACCAATATTTACCTTTCGACCAAGGGACTTCCACAAACCGTGCAGTTCTTCAGCCCAACTGCGATATTTTGAGTCAGACACCTTGGATAAGAATTTTGGTCTGTGGAACAGGAAATATTCACATTTAAAGCCTATTTCTCACAACTTACTTTTTTCAGTGGAAAACAAAAGGAGTAATTTTACAGAATGTCCTGGCTGCTCTTTCCATATAATTTAAGTAAATGTTGACTGAGCTTTCAAACCATGCAAAATTACTAGAAAAATCATAGACTTGAATGACATGAGTAAGTAAATGAAAGAATTATCATTTTCAGGTAGAAATACTATTGTTGTATCAAGACAACTCATTGTCCACACAAAACATTCTTACTTTGAATGCCAGTCTGGAGGAGTCCACGGCTCAAACTCCTTACCCGGCTCTTCAAAGTATGTTTGCAGGAACTTCTGTAGCTCTGTGGATGGGACAGTTTGGTTTGGGAACCCTGAGGTCAGATTTGCAAACGCCTCCACAACGACCTCTGTGGGGAAGCAGGGGAATAGCACAAGAATTAAAGCACAGTGCTTTTCTGATGACGAGCTTCAGAACAAATCAAACGTGTTTGACTCACCAGGAGCTGTAGTCAACTTCATATCTACAAAGTACTTGTCATCATCAAACAGTTTAGCCATCTGGACCTGTCGCAGGATTTCTCCTGTGCAGTAGATCAGACTGGTGGCAAACAAACATGTCAGGCAACTGATGCACCAGAGTAACAGGGTGGTGTGTCTGGCACTCACCGGTTAAACTCATAAAAACAAGATCAATAACATTCGGCTCTTCTTGAATGCTGAGAAGCTGAGCTTTGAACCTTTATTAAACACTCCACCTGCTTTATCATGGATTCAAAGTTCAGTCATAATGAGAATACCATCTGGTGGCTGTTGAAGTCTTCATAATGAAAACCACAAATCATTTCACATAAGCCATGGAGCAAAAAGAGTCATTCAAGTGTTTACGTGCACACATCAGTCACCAATTTATTCGGCTTAATATTTAATGGACTCTTCTCATTGGAAAATTCACAAAAGCTATTCAGATTACAGCAATGAAGCCTTGATCAAGAAGATAGTTATGGCAACTAACCTGTCACAAGGTGCCAGAAGCATGTCGCCGGAAGAGAAAAGGATGGATGAAAAGATCGTCACAATTAAGCAGTGCATCTTGGTGAGATAAAGGAAGTATTAGTAAACTGAAGCCTGAGTTTAAAGCTCTGTGCTCGGTTTATCAAGGATTAGGGCGTTATATGTCAGTTTAAAAAGTGATTCTAATGTGGTTAATCATTTACAGAGCATAATAAACCTAGTATGTACATATTTCACATTAGTATGCAGATTGTTAGTACTAAGGGTAGCACTAAAATGTAACAGTTGGGAAGAAATTAAATAAACTCTAAATACTGACATCTAGTGAGACGAAACAGAATTGGAAACTGACATTTATATGACTAAAGCTCAAACATGCTGTAATAAGTCAGAGGAATTCTTCACATTAAATCCACACACCAAAACAATGAATACATGAGAAACTCAGCAAAAAAAGACACCTTAAACACACATGGAACTTCAGTGAGCTTTATTTCCAAACAAAAACCATCACAGATGTTAACCATTGCACTTGTATACATCTCAAATCTTTAAAAACGTAGCATCACTGAGAAAAATGCCAATTGAAAGTACCCAAATTGAAAAGGTGGAAAACAAAATACAGACTTTGGATTTCTTAAATTTGGTTTGTTTTAATCTGCAATATCCCAAAAAAATAAATAAATAAATTTAAGGGCAAAGTTAAGATCAAATTTTCCTTACCCTGAACTCCCAAATTGTTTATTTGATGTTTTGAAACCAATTCTCTCCATTTCCCTCCCACCCATTATCCCAGACCGACGCATCCAAGCACCCTCAACACTGAACAGGGCTGCGTTTCTCAAAAAACATTGTAAGCCCAAGTAGATCGTGGAGACCGATAGTTTCAATGGCTCTACAATCTACTTAAGCTTATGATGTTTTTGGGAAACGCAGCCCCAAAAATAAAGTATTGGAATAGCAAGAGATGCATCAGGGCAGCAAAAAAAACCTTCCCACCCACCCCAACCAAAAAAATAAAATAAAGAAAATAAAACAAACAAAAAAAAGGCAAAGGAAAAAAAATATTGAAGAAAGAGTGGATCGAGATGGCAATTTTTGTACGCTTCAGATAAACTTTAACAGGTGAGATGTTCTCCACCCTATTCTTCGAAATAAAAGGAAAACAAAACCTAAAATGAAATCAAAACCCCAACCACAATGGCAAAGACCACAGTGCATCCAATCAGGAACGAACAGTGATTTTCACGGCAAGTGGTTACTGAAAAACACCGGGCTGCTGCCAAAGAACCCAGTAACTTGTATACTCCCCTCTAGAGCTGATCTGCTTAAAAAGCCCCCAAAAGAAACCAAAGCTGATTAGCCTGGTGGATTTTCTAAGTGCACACCGGGGGCATGTGCTATAGAGAAGAGAATACAAGCTTGGATTGGAACAATGTCACTGGGAAATTGTTGCAAGAGCTGGAATATGGGGCAAATACATGTTTTTTTTTTTTTGCTCAGAATTAGTTAGAACAAACTTGCTTAATTGTCTCAGGAAACACTAATAGCAACACTCCACAGTAGACAAAGCCAATCCGTTTAATAAAATAAAAACATCTCACCTGTATTTGACTTTCTAATGGGGACGTTGGTGATGTTACACTCCAACGTTAAATTCAAAGTAAATTCCGTGCCAATAAGCACCAAAAAAAGTATTAAATTGCATCCCTCCCAACCTCAAACCCACCCCATAACGTTACAACCCTCAAAATGCATAACTTATTAAAAAAGCAGCAGAAGGGCTTAAGTGTCTCAAGCAAGCCCTAGTCAATCCCCAGAAAGAAAAAAATATATATAATTCACTCAAATCTATAAAGGCTATTAGTGTTTGGGGGAGGGGGATAAATATTCCGCTGCAAAAAAACAAAAAAAAAACAAAAACAAAAAAAACACATTTGGTTTCAGCACCCATGAAACACACATACCCCCATATTAAATACCCTCGTCCCTGCACAATACTTCCTCAAAACAAAAAATAACTCACCTTCCGTCTTAAACATCTGCCCTAACCGAGGAAGTGTGCAGTCCGTATTATTGCCCAACCCTTGAACTAAAGTTCAGCCCACACTGCAAAGGTTTAGAACCTTCTGTTAAATCTGTGCAGCATCTTAAGAACTTGTTACAAAAAAAAAAAAGAAAAGAAAAGCCTGCTGACTCGCGATGTTTCTGCCGCTACATTATGTCAGTCCATCGTTTAGAAGTCTTGGCATCCAGTTGTTTTTTTGTCCATTTTTCCTTTCACCAATGGGAACTAAGTTCCTTTCAATCCTCCCACCCCAAACGGTCATCATGTTCTAGTGCCAGTGAACACAAACCCATGTAACAGCTACACATCTCGCTTAGAAATTCAACATTTTTGCACGTTGCCAATTTGAGCTGCACTGCAGCGAGAAGCACTATTACATGATGAAAATATTAAATTATCTCTATGATAAGAGTCACCCCAGTCAGGGGACCCTGCAGAGTGCCTTAGTCAGTGTTACAAGCAAAAGGCTGGAAAGCAAATAAGCCTCAAGTTTTCTCAACCCTAAAATGAGGCCATTTATTTGAGCAAGCCACATCAGGAACTTGTCAACACTGGGTAATGGATGACAGACAATTTAGGGAGAAGAAGTGCAAATCTGAACAACTGCACCACCTACATTTGAACAGTGTTTTTGGATTTAGAAAGAAAATGTGGGAGCCCAATTTTTTTTTTTTTGTTAGAACAAAACAAAGGTGGTGCACTACCTGGAAAGGTTTAAACTCATTTCCCATGGGCGAAAATTATGGAATAAGCAAACAAAATACCGCCGTCCAGTGCTGACAAAGTCCTGATTTTAAAAGATCTTTCAAACACTGTTTTCAAATGGTCATCCAGCCTTTTTAGCTCGTTTTAAAACAATCCATTTAAAAAAATAAATGAAGTATTTACAAAATGTTTACAATGTGCCAAATCTGTATAAATGGCACATTTAGGACAGAGTGCCTACCCAATAAGAACGCAAAACTGTACTGAAATCAGGAGGAAAAGAAAAAGAAACAAGAGGGGGGAGGGGGAAAAAGAAGAAAAAAAGAAATCCACATTCGTCTCAAAGCGGGAGTCCTCATGGCCAATGAGAAAGGCTGGTCCGAGTCCGGTCAAGTCTCTTAGTGTTGGCCCACTGAAGACAGAGGGGGAAAGAGTTATGGGTCTCTAGAGGCATGGCATGTTCCATGAATGGATGAAGGGGGGAAATCCATTGAGAGCCTTGTGGGACTTTTTTGAAAGCTTGACACAAGAACATTAGCTCCCATCATTGTCATCATGCTCACTGATATCATCTCAGTTCTCCAGGGGGCTTCTCTTCACACCATAGTCAAGTATGCCAGAGAACGCACACACCACACCCCCATCCTCTCTCCCACTGTGAAATCCTGTTCCCAAAAATCTATAGGTGGCGAATGCAAAAATTATTCTTCTGATGTCAAACAGGAGGGGGCAGACAAGCGATACCAAAAGCCATAGAAAAATCAAGATCATGTCTTAAAATGAAGAGTTGTGAAAGGAGAAAAGAAAAAATCATCAGGTTATTACTTTTTGAACAAGTTAGACTGCTTGTTAAGGCACTTGTTTCAAATGACTAGAAACATGAAGATGTGCAGAGGGACAGAGAGAGTGGGGTGAGAATGTGCTTGCAGGCAATGAGTAGTCATTTCTTTTCTTAGGAGATAAATCCTCATGTCCCCTCTTTCCCTCCTCGAGTGATTTGAAGTCTTCAGGATGAAAATTTCAGTGCAGCAGTCCTTTATTAGGCCACGAGTCCTTCCCGATTATTGTGCCTTTGCAAAATAACATTCCTTGTGGTGGCACCAAACAAGACAGAAAGAAAGAAAAAAAAACGGGGGAAGAGGAAGACAGACGGAGGATATAGTTTAAACAAAATTATCCCCTATTCCCTATACACAGTAAGGAAGGAACAAAAGGGGGGGGATAGGGGACAAAGGATTGGTGATCTGCAAAGAGTAGAAAAAGATGGTTAAATCAAACATTCAGAGAAACTGAAAGCTGTTGAGCGAGTGACCTTTGAACTCACCTCTCCTGCTCACAGTTTAACCTCCTCCCCACTCTCACTATGGTACTCGGCCACATATAAACTCTTGTCAATACTGCTGGGAATGGGCTTGATTTCAGTACCCAGCTGTTCTTCAATACCTTTCAGGTTAAAGCGGTCATCATAAGTGATCAAGTTAATGGCCAGACCCAAGTGTCCAAATCGGCCTGTGGGGAGAGAAGGCGAGTGTCATTAATTCAAAGTCACTGTGCCAAATGCAACATTACTTGACCTCAGAGCGGATGCCAAAACAAAAAACCTTACTCACCAGATCTGCCAATGCGATGGAGGTACGTCTCCCCGAGTTTGGGGAAATCGAAGTTGATCACCACATTCACAGCTTGTATATCAATTCCTCTTGTGAAGAGATCTAAACAAAAAAAAGGGGGTCAAAAACATCAACTTTGATTAAATAGGTCTATTATAGATGAGGTAAACTGTTCTTACCAGTGCAGACGAGATTTCGACATAAGCCATTTCTGAAATCGTGGAACACGCGGTTTCGGTGTTCCTAAACAAAAATATAAAATAATGAATCCTGAAATTATTAATCCTGTAAATTTGCTTGCTCTATTTCAACATTCTGCCAATAGCAGTGCAACACCAACACAGGCCCCTTTTACTCTCTCACCTGTCTCATCTTGGCATGAATGTAGAAACAGGAGTACCCAAGCTGCGAGATCTTCTTGGCCAGGAGCTCCACTCGCTGGGATGAATTGCAGAAGATTATAGACTGATTGATCTGGAGCTGAAAAACAAACAAACATTAAAAAAGGATGTCTACAGATAAACTGAATGTTGCTGAACATGTAGTCAGATCAAGTGTGGCATGCACAAGGCTTTTACCCTGGAGAACAGAGTATTAAGGCAATGGACTTTCTGCCTTTCAGTCACATAGGCGTAATACTGAGTAACCCCTTTCAGGGTCAGCTCCTCCATCAGGTTTATCTCATAGGGCTTCTGCAGATGGGTGTTCTGTTCACAAAAGCAGTGTAAATTAATACTTTCTGAAAACTGATGACAGCCTCACAAAACCATTACAAGCAAACAATCATATTAGGCTTAAAACATTTACAATAAAGTACAAATCTGTGTTTTCTGCAACTAGGCAACAAAACAAAAAAGCATCCCGATCTATTTGCGCATTCTGGATACAAACAAAAAGTGACCTGACTATTAATGAAATCTAATGTTCATTATCATTTTTGGTTTCCTAAGATTAAGAAAATAAAGCTGTATTTATTGCTTTGTTTGTTTTACAAACCCAACACACACCATTAATTTAGAACAGTGAGGTTCTGAACGTCCCTAAATTAGTGCGTGGCAGAAAAAGTTATTTATGGATTCAATTTATTAGCTCAATTATATTTAAAGTTCAAGAAAAAAAGATTAAGTTTAAATGCACAATGTTTCCACAGTCATTCCATTTAATAAATGTGAATGACTAAATAACCATAATGATTAATATTGGCGTAAATGAGCACCCCTTGCGACCACTGGGTAGCTTTGGACCAGCCATTCTTAAAAGGAGAACTCCCGCGCAAAATGAAACTTTGGTCTAATAAAACATTGGTACCAAGTCAACCGTTCTCAGAGATTTGATTTCATGGTAATCGAATGTAAAGAAATCTCTTAAAACTGTTCAGCGTATAATGCTAGTAAATGGTGGCATATAATAAGTAAAAAGAAATCGCTAGTTAAAACCACTAACAAGGCTCAAAATAGCCCCACACCAACACAGTAACATAATGAGGGTCCCTTATTACAAAACAAAGCATTGATAAGTGCACTGTTTAATAAGATACTTTAAAGACAGTCCACTTTGTGTATACAGGCGGCGCCATCTTTGGAAAACAGTCTCGACAAGTCGAACCACGAACACTTCGTTTTTGTATTAAGGGACCCTCGTTATGTTACTGTGTTAGTGTGGGGCTATTTTGAGCCATGTTAGTGGTATTAACTAGCGATTTCTTTTTACTTATTATATGCCCCCATTACTAGCGTTATACGCTAAACAGTTTTTAGAGATAAAACTCTTTACATTCGATTATCTTGAAAACAAATCTCAGAGAATGGTTGACTAGGTATCGATGTGTAATTAGACTAAAGGTTCATTTTGCACCGGAGTTCTCCTTGGATTGGAATGTAAAATCCACACTAGAGGCTTAGTAACTGCTACCTAGTTAGTAACTAAGTGTACTTTATTCAGTTGCACCATTTGTTTTTAGGCAGAACGTAGCTAGTAGGTCGTAAACTCTAAAGTAATGCATTTACCTTGAGTGATCCAACAGCAGCCTTCAAATACACAAGCAGAAGCTGTTTAAATGCTGCTTTAGTTTATGCTGTTTGAATTTCAGTTTATACTACATTCTAACTTCTTTTACAACACAACCAACGGCAAAAATACGTTCGTTTAAATTTGATAATAAATCATGAGTAACTTCTATGTAAATAACATTCAGAAACTGTATTTGAAATTAATAACGATCAATAAATACTGACAAAAATGAATAAAATACTATATGAAATGTTATTTATTTGAAATTCACAACACGGACACGATGTTTAGGACAGGTTCATATTTAAGGGCCATTGAAGTAATTATCCACAGGCTTTAACCAAGTTTAATGGTGTAACAATATTTAGTAGTGCGCAAGTTATAACTTAGCCTAGTTTTGACAAACAGGCACTAAATTGTAACTTATGCATAGCTGGTACAATTGGCTATTTAGTCTGCAAGTCTTAATGCACAGAACTAATCTTTTAACTACATCCATTTTTTTGTCCCATTGTAGTTTTACTATGCGACATGGTTGGTTCTGAATGGCCGTACTAAAATAATTGTATAATTTCACGTTGGGTGGTTAAAATAAAAACTGTCATGGATGTTTCCACAAAATCTGACTAAATGGATAGAGGCCCCTGAAAATAATGGTAATTTTCATTTGTTATTTTAGTAGCATGTTAAGATTTCATTTATTTAAATGAATTCAAAGAAATTAAAGAGTGAGTGTGCGAATTACTTACATGCATCTATGCAAGTGAGGCTTGTTAGTTTATTTTTAAAAAAAACCAGCTAATTTATCACCTCATTGTTGAGAAATAGTCTATAATGTAGCTTTCAGTAGTGAAGCTTGTTTTATTCTTAAAATTCACAGGGCAGAGATTGAAAACCAGATTCTATGCTCCTGAATGTTTCTGTGCGCACACAATTTCTTCGCAGTTTCCACCCCAGTAAAATAATCTGGCACATCTTCATATAACAAAAGCTATCCTTTGGGGCAAACGTGTCGTAATCAATTTTGTGTGCCAGTGTAAACGCAGCCAAAAATACTTGTGAACGTTAAAGTCACATCAAAGTTGGCACCGAGAAAGTTACAGGTTCACAATTATTATATTATTCAAAATAAAAGAAAGCAGTGTATACTTAAAATCAATGCATTTTTTTCCCCAGCATTCAAGTTGTGTTTTTTTTTCAGTGACCTTACCATGAACTTTTGCACACTCAGTGGGAATGTGGCAGAGTACAGCAAAATTTGCCTTTGTTTGGGCAAAGAGCTCAGCATCTCCTCCATCATCTGTACAAAGTCCTGCGAAAGGAGCTTATCTGCCTACTCGGTAACATGGGTAAAACATAAATGAGATGCGTATTACCATGTGTCATTTAAGCAAGTCATTAATAGTACAAGAATAAGCTCTTATTCACATACCTCATCCAACACAACCATCTGTACTTGATTGACTTTGGCCACTCCCTTTTTGATGAGGTCCAAAATTCTTCCTGGAGTGGCGATGACAACATGCACTACAAATGCAAGAGTTTAATCCAATAAGACCCAGGGTTTATGAAAGGTATATTTACAGCCGTTCAGACTATTTTAAAAATGTTCCTTCTCATTTATGATCACTTGCCCGTTTCGTCGAGTCTCATGATGTCATCACGGAGGTTGGTTCCACCTGTAGTTGCCATAACCTTGACCCCGCCCATGTGTTTGCTGACCTGGATGCAGATCTGGCTGACTTGTAGAGCCAGTTCTCTAGTGGGCACAATGACCAATGCTGCAAAAAGCATGAAGTCACTTAAAAGCAATAGAGAAACCGTGTATAACACTTATAATGGTGAAACAATGATCCCTACCAACTTGTAAATGTGTCAAATCCAAGATAGTCACCAACCTTGTATGCTGTCTTTCTTCAGGTCAATGCGTTCAAGTAAGGGAATGAGGTAGGCGCCACTTTTTCCTGTGCCGTTCTTGGCTCTGGCTAGGATGTCCCTCCCAGATAATGCAATGGGAATGCTCTCCTCCTGCGGGAAAGAGTAGTAATGAGTAGTAGACATGTGCTAGTATACGTAATACAATATATATGATAAATAATTCAAATCAAAAGTTGTAACTGGTTTAATGGATCTGAGTTAATAATGATCAATTGTGTTTAATGTTAACAAAGAATAACAACTAGCAAGTTACATTTGTTATATGTTACATTATTGTAAAGGGTTACCCATTTTTCTTTATAATTTTTAAACATGCGTTTACTTTATTATTTGTGTATCAATTATATAATGTGTATTGATTAATTTAAAACAAATGTATTTAGATGTTCAGTGTTCTTTTTGTTACAAGACAAAATTGAACCTGTAAATTTAAACCTGTTATAGTATAACAACACTATTTCAATATCGTGATAATACCGTTCACCCTGATAAAAGCTTCAGCAATTATCGCAAAATGAAAATTTGATACAGTCACATGCCTAGGTCACGAACAGACAAAAAAAAAGTCAACAGTCTGAATCCAGTTTCTATACGCGTTTATCATTCACTTATAGTAAGAATTCAAATACATCCTTCTAAATAAGCCATACACTTTGATTGGCACAACTAATAAGACTGAAATTAAATATGAATTCTTCATGTGTGTGTTGAATGAGAGCCGCAGTTTCGTCTAATTCTCAAGCATGCATGACACTCTGGTGTTGTCGGCATCTGCAGTCTCACTGTCTATGAGGACATGAACTTCATCTCCAGAAGTGCGCTGTGTGACTTGGCTTCATCAAAAGAAATGGTGAAATGCTCATCATATCAAATACATACAAACTCAATGGTCTGACAACCCATCAAAAACTTGAGAAAACTGTGACAAATATATTCTTATTGCACAGAAGAATGAAAGAATGAACTTCTTAAAGTAATATTTTTAATAATTATTATTTTAGATGCACCTAAATTTCACTAAACAGCTCCCAAATTTCTCAGCCGATTCAGCCAGCTTAAACGCGGTATTTATTTGCCCCAAATATAAATTCTTACTGACCCCAAACTTTTGAAGGGTAGTGTTTAATGTCACAAAAGCCTTCTATTTCAGATAAATGCTGTTCTTTTGAATTTAAGAATCCTGAAATAAAGAGTAAAAAACTGTTTAACATTGATAATCATCATAAATGATCATCAAATCTGAAGGATAATGCGACACTGAAGACTGGAGTAATGATGCTGTATTTTTTAATCAAATAAATGCAGTATTGGTGAGCAGAAGAGACTTTTAAAAACTTTCAAAACCTAACAGATCTAAAACTTTTGACCAGTAGTGTGTGTATGTATTATTCTAAATTTGGGAATTAATAAAACAAATTTCATAGGGCCATACACGTTATGTGTCTCGGCAAATTAGCTTTAAAAAAAGCTTTCTCCAGGTATACCAGATCTCTTTAGCTAGTAGTGATGCACATCTGAAATATTTTCCCTCATGTGTCTTTTTTTGCCTCTTACCTGTATAGGTGATGGTTTCTCCCAGCCCATTTCAAAGATGCCCATAAGCAACTCCCGTTTCAGGCAGTAATCCTCAAATTCGTTTCCCTTGGTCGCCGTCACATCCTGTAAATTTTTGATAATGATTGCACTTTAAAGAGTCGGACAGACCACAACAAGCACAACAGAGAAAGACTCTGGTTCAGAGGCTACCTTTACTTAAAGAGGTCATCAAATGCAAAATTCTGGACAATCCATTCACTCCTTTTTTTAATCCTCAAAAGGTTTAAACACTCAATCAGGCCGCGACCACTGACGGACTGTCCCGTATTAGTATATTTATTGCCTCAGCCATTTGACACCTTCCAAGGAGGAGAGGGGTGGAGTGCTCATTATCATTTAAAGAGACATGCACCGAAACAGGTCACAGAACAGAGACGTTTTTGAGGAGGTAAATAGTGTTTTATACAACCACTGAGGAATTTTAACCGAAATATATTACAAACTTTACATGAACACCCTAAAGAATCATAACTTATTGAAAATGGGCATCTGATGACTCCTTTAACAGACATTAGAGCATCATGATTCAGGATAAAATGAGAATCACATTTTTTTTTGTATAAAAGAGATCACGATTGTCCCAGAATCCTAATGCGACAACTACACAAAACAGTAAGGCGGTCACGAACAATTGTTTTGGTAATCAAGTAATTGGCCGATTATTTTGACGATTAATCAAGTGATTTTTTTTTTTTTTTGTGGTAGTAATAAAAATGGATACAAGCAAACAATGACCTTTAAAATGCCTTAAACATATTTAATAACAATGAGGATCAAAATAAAGTATCAAAAGCAAGTCATCATATGGTTTTATAGAACACTTAAAATACATAAGCTATAATATAAAATCAACATGTCGTTATGTACTATAAAAAAAATTAGGGATGCACCAATTGTTAAGCAATTGAAATTATTTGACCACAAATAGCAAAAAAAGGAATTTTGGTATTAAAAAAAAAAAGAATCCAATTTGACTGTACACTTACATTTTTGATGACACAATCAAAGAGCAACCAGCATGTGTGAGAGGCACACACACTTAATAAATGCAAACATACTGGCAGTGTGGAAGCATTTTAAAGTGTCAGAGAAATTGCTTATTGCAGACAGTTCTGCTGGGAACAATAATTTTATTTTATTAATTTATTTTAAGTATTATTGTTGGCATAATGTCTGCTGGAATGTTTAAAAAATGCTCAGTGTTAAATATTTTTTAATTGTAATTCGAGAAAAAAATTGGTCAAATAGATGGGATAAAATGCAAAAAAGGCGTTGCATCATATTCGGTTTCGGTCAAGAATTTTTATTTCGGTGCATCCCTAAAAAAAAATGCCTCAAATATAAGAAAAAAAATGTAATTAAAAAAAAAGTACTTGAAATCAAGGAATTGTGACAGCCCTCCAAATAAATAAATAAACATTTAATTTGAATGAATGAGTCGATGACTCACTAATAAAGACCTCACTAGTTTCATCACTGGATTAATCAGCGTTTTTGAATGATTCTTTAATCACTACTTGCTACCTACTGGTGTAATGACACAATCGATACAATCTTTAAAGCATCACGTTTAAAAAGGTGATTTACTCTTATTAAAAAACGTACAGCAGTGATCAAAAATATTGTGCGAGTGTTCGAATCGAGATTATGATCTTTTAACAATTAATCGTGCAGCTCTAACAGGCTGACAAGTAAACCAGTTAAAGATGGACTTACTGAAGTTCTCATGCGCATATCCTTCGGAGGAAGCTTTAGATTCTTCTTCCAGTCATCCCCAGGCCTGATAAGGAGAAAAAAGAAAATCCCAATCACCACCATAATAAAGCAGCACTCACTGCATAATCTGCACTCCCTCAAGGACTTACTTGATGATAGTGTTGGCGGTGGGTACAGGCTGGGAGTTGCCATTGTTGACTGTGCTGGAGGCTTTGACCTGGGTAGGTTGCATTGTTTGGGACCCCCCTCCACCTCCTCCAGGACCCCCTGCTGGCTTCACAGAGCCTCGCATTTGGCCATTCTGATTCGACAGTCCCAGAATCACTGGATTCTCCATTCTGGCTGTACTCATGTCTTAAATTATCGAAGCTATCCTCCAAACGTGACAAAAACAGTGGAGTTTATCTAGATGGGCTTGCAAAACAACTCACAAGTTGTCCTTCCCACAGCTTTCGCAGTGTCCAAAGCGCATGAAAAAAAAAAAAGTTAAAGCAATATTTTTCACCAGTTCCTTGTTCCTCAATATACAAGTCTCTTGTGGAACATCTCAATATGAACGTCACTCAAGCAACAGGTCATAGATATTATAAGCAGGGAGGATTAGCTTCAATTATCCTTCCATGAATGAGTGAATCCTTCCTCTGCAAAGGGAAAGTTTCACAGAGCAGGGGCCAGGAAGCCAGTGTTAGTCTTTTCGATGATTCTGTCCATTCCTTTCTCTCCAATTTCAACTATTTTAAATGTTTTCCACCTGTGTGAGAGAGAGAAAGAGCATCTTAAAGCACATCATAAGAAGTGTCAAACAAAACCACCAAACAAGAATTTAGTCAACGCCAATACAAATTATGTTGGACAGGGGTTTTCCAACCATTATAAAGGCTGAAATAGATTCTCATTAGCATAACTTTTCAAAAATATTACGTTAACGGATCAACCTTATCCCACATTTAGAAAAAAAAAATCTATATTTTGATATGATGGAAAATAACTTATTGCCTTGACACTCATGGCACAAGGGGCCCCTGGCCAATATATGTACAAAAAAAGATTGATTATTTTAAGAGCTCACTTTACACAATATATAGTAGCACTACAACTACTTGATGTAATCTATTGATTAGACTTTAAAATATTTAAATGTTCGTTTTAGACCTTCTTTTGATTACCACTGCTGGATAAATTTCTAACTCAAATCTACAATTAAAACACACAACAAAGATTTTCATTTATGCATTTAGCAGATGCTTTTATCCAAAGCGATGGGACCTAATTGTTCATTGAGGGGGAGTTCACACAATTTTCTTAACTTATTTTGTGTGGGCTTGGCACAGTAGCGCAGTTTCGTTCCGCTGTCATTACGTTTGCCATTTGATGTTGTGGTGGTCACGCCAGCGATGAATGAAAATATTGAGCGTTATATCGAACATTTTTATAGCGTTAGCGACTATGGTGTACCGTTGATACGGTTTTATCACCCAGCCCTACTTTCACTAGGTCCCTATAATTTACGCGATGACAGAATCGCAGAATTGGCAAATTAACGCAGAATCTAGAGTCAACATAGAATTGTGGAATTTTATATATTTGGTTTGAAATTCTGTTTGTGTGGGAGAAGAACGCAATATCTGGTGAAAATGCAGACCGGTGGAAGAACAAAAAAAACATGCCGAAGCGGCTCTCCACGGCTCTGCTTTCGTCGGCAAAAAAGTCGTCAGTGGCGAGCAGAGCAGTTCGAATGTGAACGTTTCCCAGACTAATTCGCTGCCACATATTGCGTTTCGTTCATTGTTTTACCACTATTTAAAACATGCTGCGTATTATTTCAGTTGTATTTCCTTTCCCTGCTCTACCTCTATCCCTCCATCACTCAAGCAACTCTCTCACACACACAAAACGTGCACACCACGTCGGTCTATGAGGCACCAGACTGGACAAAAGCAAAGCGAACTCCGTGAGCGACACTGGGCGAGAGAGAGACAGATTGTGACTTTATTTAAACTTACATAAACTAATATAATTTATTTTATGGACAGTTTACAACTCATAACTGTATTTTGTTGTTACTTGAAGAGTGCAGTCTTATGTTGCATCTTGCACTATTTGTCCTGAAAAGGTTACTGAGTAAAATGTCTATTACCTCATTAGTCCTATTTTATTTGTATACAATTTAATCATTAACTTTAAAGGCATACTCTTTTTACGACTAAAATAACAGTCAAGGGTAAAAAAAAAATTTTTTTTAAACGAATTCCCCAAAATTAAACTAGAAAATGGAATTTGGGAAAAAATAAAACGGATTTCATAGGGCCCTATTTCACCATCATGAATGTTTGTGTTCACCGCTCTGTAGCAGTATACACGTGCACAGGAGCGTAGCGTTTCTCTAGAAAGTGACATCGCCAACAACTGGTCTGGCATGTATAATACACCGCTTTTAGTCATTTTTGCAGATCCGTGTGTACAAGACCATTTTGACAATGTCGTCGGTCATCTGTACATGAAAACGCAAACAATTACGTTTAATACTGGGCTCAAAAATAGAGTAGAAAATAGCCTATCACTTATTAATTCTGATGTTTTTTTAATGTAAAAAAACAGGGGAACGTCATAAGTTCACCTCAGACAACAATATAAAAAAAATTAAAAAGCCAGTTCATGACCCCTTTAATTAGACATAATTTATTTTAATTCAACTAGGGCTTTAACAACTAGGGCTAATAGACTAAAATAAATCTACAAAGAACTAAATTATCACATCTGCTGGCAGCATCAGCCAGTCACATCACTTTACAGTAGTGAATAACAAATTTCTTTGTACAAAAAGCATTATGGAAACAGTCAAGAGTACACGGATCACGTACTTTCCCGCAAAATGACACCAAGTTGTCCGAAACATGAAAATGCTTTATATTTATAAGTGCTTCAAACTCAAACATAAGCATTTACTGTGTCTTGCATTGCTTTGACAAAAGCGTGTGATGTTTAATGTTTCTGCAAATGATGCCATAACCTTACATTTTATGGTAATATCCTTTGTAAATGTTTGAAAGTCCCACAAGTATTTCCATTTTGCATATCCTGACAACAAAGGTGATTAAACTTCAAAATCTTCAATGAACGAGCTTAAGTTAGAAATTAAGTAAGTTAAACATGAACAATATTAATGAGCGTTGGGTAGGATGTGGACTAATATTGTTTAAATTACTTTGTTTTAATATAAATCTTTTAATGTATTTTTATTTTTATCCCATCATGTCAAAAATAAATCGAAAGATTAATCTATTATCACAATAATCACTTGCAGTCCTAAATTCAGCCATTACGATATTTAATTCACCAAATGTGCACAATTCTTTGGTTAAACAGTTCCATGAATGAGTGAATCTTTCTTCTGCAAAAGGAAAGTTTCACAAAGCAGGTGAAGCCAGCCAGTGTTAGTCTTTTCGATGATTGTCCATTTTTGTCTACATTTTTAAAATAACAAGTGAAGCTTCACCCCTGTTGCCATCTCAACATGGCAAAACACGTGCGAATCAATCTGCCAACCAAATACAGATCATATTGATTAGTAATTCAGCATATGGGGTAATAATACAGCACATTTACACTAAATTGTAATGTTACAACAGCAAGAGTTAACTCACTGTAGAAGGAATTCTATACAAAAAAAAAGCTTAATAGAATTAGCACAGAAAAAGTCTGTCAAATCAAAGATAATGTGTAATAAAACAGGAATAGACTTGATATGGAGAAAAAACACGCATGGTTTGAACATACGAACCATGGACATAAACCTTAAATGTCAAATCTGACCTCAATAATGATGGCAGCTAAACCTGGCACAAAGTCAACATGATAGGCCTCATATTAAAACAGCCGCTACTAAAATAATATCTACAATATAATATGATGGCGACGTTTCGCTGACGTTGTATGTTTGTTAGAAACATGCAGTAACGTTACTATTAGCACCGACAAAATATCAGTGTAATCTGGTTAAAATTAGAAACAATGTAAATGCTAGTTAGCTGAAGTTGACTTAAAGTCCCTCCTAGTCAGGAAACTCACAAACAGAACACGGTAAACCAATGCATCTCAATGTAACCAATGTTACCATGTCGTTATTTAGAAAACACTCTTAAACGTTAACCGTTTTGCTTTAACACAACGTGCACCTCACCGTCACGCAGTTAATGCTAATGTTTAGCTAAACGGCTAACCTTACCTCTTACAGCTTCGTTTCAGTTAACAGTCGGATAACGTTTTAACAGTTAGGGGACACAGCTATTAATAATTCAATGTTCATATGCTCCTTCTGGTAGAAGTGAAATAAAAAATATATTTGAACTGTGTGAAAGAAAAATATTAGCACTGTGCTAGAGTTCATTAGCTTTTGCGTCCACACACAGGCCGCACGCGAAATAACCCCTCACCGATTCACAATAAACGGCCTGTTAAATCACTAAACACCTTTTTGTATAAGCCATCGGTTATAAAACATGTACAGCTTACTAAAGCAATTAGCTGAATGCCTTGACTGAGACAAGAAAATATGCATGACACCACCGACAAATATGTAAACACGCAGCTAAAAAGAACCTCCTAAAACTGACTAAAGATTTACCCATGTACCACATTCATTTGACTTTCTGCAAACTTACCAAACGTGGCTGAATATATCTTTCTGCGTGTTTGTGAATTATAGGTGTAGAGCTCTGACATATATTTAGGGGTGTAAAGCGAGTGTGTAAGATGGCTTCCAGTCATCTTTAAACCCTCCCATAATCAGTCACATGAGAGCTCCGTCTAATCCACAAAAACACCGCGCATTTTAGAATTATTTATTTATTAAATTCATTTTTTTCTGCGGATTTTGGTTTAAATGCATGTAAAATATTTTACAATTTTCCCTTAAAAATAAAATATAATAACTATGTGGCCGTGCTGTTTAATTCTTACCTGAGCTTGTTTTTGTCTCTCTTGGCAGAAACCTGACATGTATGGGAGTCATTTAATCTAGTAAACATGTTTGTGCTTGACTATTGGTAATATATTGTGATTTTAAGAACATTGACATTTATTTGAATCCCTAAACGCATATGTTTTCATTATAACTACTTATTTGACAAGTGTTAAAGATGTTTGGTATGCACATGTTCGAAATCTGTTGATATGGACACCTGTGGGATTCAGACAGAGATAGACTAGTTAATTAATTGCCATATAGCTGAATGACTTTCTCCATGCAGACCAATTAAACTGTCCTAATTGAATTAAGGCGTATGCTTCCCTGATACCCCACACATGAGAAGTTGTTTGGGAAGTGGAATATTGGTTACAAGAGGGAAATCAGGTGCAATATCAATCAATAAGCCCTTGAAGAGATTTCTTTTTAATAAACTGCAACCACTCAAGCAAACTTCACACTCCGAATGGGTCCACACGAGTGTAGCAATCATTTTAAAAACATTTTAAAACCTGGAAAAGGGGGAGCAGTAGGCTAATTATCTGTGCAAAACTCGCTGCAAGGAGTGTCAGGTGGTTGATTGTGGTTTACATGATACAGTTTTACATTTAAGGAACATATGAGTAATATGAGTAATAGTGAAAGTGACTCTTGCCTATAGCAGCACAAGCACTGGATTGCAATACATAAGATAAAGACCATTTTGAGACTGCACAATGTTATATATATGTATGTATGTATATGTGTGTGTCATTAATATTTATAATTAATCATAATTTGAATTGTGTGTTATTTTTGTCAACTTAAATGCAGGGTTGGAGTGATTTTGTGTGTGTGTGTTTGGGTAATTTTGTGCAACTAAGCTCTTGGGTCAGATGTAACAACCCAGTTATTTATCAAGACTTGCATCCTCTAAACACAAAAAAAATCTGCTTTCCAAAAACATTCACTAAATGGTAAAGTAATTAAATAATTATGGGAATTATGTAGTGACCTGCTAACTCATTCATTTAAAACAATGATAAATAATTCAAAAAAGAAATTACTCAAATAGCCTACTATATTGCAACTGATTTTATTTCAAAGTAATTCATAGGTTCATATTTGTTAACTTTTATTTATTTATATTTGCCAACAATTGTTTTTTTGTTTTGTTTTGTTTTTTTTGTATATAGGCAGCCACACTTGCTAAAACCAAAGTTGAAGTGGAGATTTCTGTAACCAAGCCAGATTACTAAGAAATATGTCAGGTGCAAAAGTTGTGGTTAGCCAATTGCTAAAAAAGAATAGGCTACAAGAAAAAAAAAATCAAAAGAGTACCCTAGGGAAAAAAAATAGTATAGCGCAATTTGCATGTGCTTCAGAAAAATGTATTTTTGGCATGCTATAAATTGGTATAAAGTTAAATCGGAACAAATTTTGTACTAAATGCATAGTTGTCCAAACATGGTCCTGAAGTTCAACTAAATTTGTATTTAATATACTTGTTTGTACATTCCAAGTACTTTAAATACACTCTTGTATTTAAGTTTTGAATTGCAGAATTGACTCCAATTCCAATTCATTTACAATGTAAGAGTGTTGAACATACATTAATATTACTGATAACTATCTTTTACTGATTTTAAAACACATTGCAATGGCATTTTAAGTAAATTTGAAGTGTTTTACTAATGGGTGGTGATGGCGCAGTGGATAAGACACATGCCTTTGGTGTGAGAGACCCAGGTTCGAATCCACTGTGAGACACCAATGTGTCCCTGAGAAAGACACTTAATCCCTAGTTGCTCCAGAGGTGTGCAACCTCCGACATATTTAGCAATTGTAAGTCGCTTTGGATAAAAGTCTCAGCTAAATGAATACATGTAAATGTAAGTGTCCTAATGACATCATTAAAAGCATGATTAATTTTTAGGTTTGCAGACTTTGCACACAAAGAAAGTCTCATCTAAAAAATAAAAAAAACACATAGCAACATCTAAAAAATATTCTAGACTTGAAAGGTTTCCTTCTGACAAATGTGCCAAACAATACAGATTCCCAATACTGTGTAGTCTAGCAAGTTTGGTTGTTTAGCAAAAGGACCTTGAACCGTTTGGTTCCCATTGAAGTCCATTATGGAGAAAAATCCTGTAATGTTTTCATCAAAAACCTTAATTTCTTTTCGACTGAAGAAAGAATGACGTGGACATCTTGGATGACATGGGGGTGAGTAAATTATCAGCAAAAGTTTTTTTAAAAGTGAACTACTCCTTTAAGAGTTTCCGAGTTCGTGACCTTGAGAAAACATGTCAAAGGCAATGGATGCAGAGTCTGCCTAGGAAAAAACCCAATGCCGAAATCTATTTAAAATAGGCCTACATTTATTTCATACCACAAACCCATTACACTGATATATTGCTTGAGACTATACTGATATAAATATTAGTTTGTCTTTATTTCCCAATGCATATTTCTTAATATTAAGCCTATGTGTTTAATATCACTAAAAATGCAAGATATTTAAAACACAATCAAATATAAGCCTTAAGTACATCTGTAGTTGGACCTCAGCACTATTTCCGGGTAACTAAAGTGCATTAAATACAAAATTAATTGTTCCAATATAGCAGACTTTAAGTAAAACAATTTAGTAAACCCAAAAGTACAATTTTAAGGTATTTATTTTAAGGACATAAATGTATACTTAGCATAAAATAAATGTATTTCAAATAGATTTGAGTATAGTTATTAATATGGTTGTGTGTATGTCTATACATCTGACTGAATTGTCGGAGAGTTGGGGATGTGTTGTTAAAGGAAATGTGTGGGCTTAATTGTGGTTTTTTTTTTTTTTGTAAAGAATTCAAATAAGGTAAGTGTAAGTTCTTGAGGACGTAAAGTTTAAAGAGGCGTGTCATGACAATCTGAGCGCAAATCATGGGTCGTTGATCAGAGGTTTTATCACCCAGAGTGGACGAGGACACATTTTTGAGACAATTGTATGTTCATCCACATTAGGACAAACATGGATCAAATAACAGAAAGAGTCATTTTTGATGTGAGTATTTCTAAACTCTCAATACATTTTTTTTTTTTAGAAAATTACAGTATGGTAGTAGTCTTCACTGATTTTTTTTCACATCCTGTGGAAACAAAACAAGCTCTATCTATTAGAAAATATATAATTATGAAGTGATTTGTACATTTTGAGAAAAAAAGTTTTTTAATAACAACATGATCAATTTGTTATAATTATTTTTATTGGTATTAGATACAAAATGATCAATTTACATCTCCACAATAAATATTTTCTAGATGTTTTCCTGTGAGTCATTTTATTTGTCAAAACTACTTTTTTGCTACTATTACAGTTAATTATTATTAATAATTGTATTATTAATAATTATTTCCATTTATTTTATTTTCAAATACGGAGGGAAAAAAAGGAAGTGAGACGCTTCCTTTAAATAGCTTCCTGTAAACGCCACAGGTGGATGAAAAAGCTTTGCTTTATGCAACTAAGCTTTTTTCATTGTTAAATAATAAACATATGAAAGTTGAAAAGTTATTGTGTAAACCCCCATAACAGCAAGGTCCCATCGCTTTGGATTAAAACATTTGCTAAATGCATAAATGAAAGTCTTTGTTGTCAAGAAATGTATCAAAAACTGTGGTAATCAAATGAACGTCTAAAATTAACATTTTAACAATGCATCCAAAATAAAAGTTTGTGTTTACATAATATATGTGGGTGCACTGTGTATAATTATTTTGCATATATATAAATACACACACATGCATGTTGATTTAAGGGGAAAAAAAACATTATTTATATATAAAATATTGATATTTCTAAATAATATAAATTATATAGAAATCTATATACATGGAAATATTTCTTAAATATATACAAGCATGTGTGTGTATTTATATATATATATATATAATAACTATACATAATACACTATGTAAACACAAACTTTTATTTAATCGTTTGACAGCCCTAATAAATTGCAATTGATTAAGCAAAAAAAAAAAAAAAAACTTATAAAACAAATGATTTAGACAACAAAATGAGTTTTTTGGAGGGAATCTTTAAATATTGCAACTTGCAAATCCCTTGTTGAAATTCTTGAAATGTGTATTTTAGGATCTGAATTGGGAGGATTATCTAAATATGACAGAAGGACCAGATGGAGTCGACCAGTACACCTGTGGCAACGAAAATAACCCACTGCATGTGTTTCAATCTGTGTTCCTACCCCTTGTCTATGCTGTGGTGTTTCTCCTGGGCATAACTGGAAATGGTCTCCTCTTGACAGTTCTGCTAAAACGCCGGAGAAACCTACGCATCACAGAGATCTATCTGCTACATCTGTCCCTGGCTGACCTGCTCCTCCTCTTCACGTTTCCATTCGCAATTACTCAAGGAGTGACCGGGTGGCTTTTTGGAACCTTTCTGTGCAAGCTATTGGGCCTTATTAATCGCCTCAATCTGGTGTGTGGGAGTTTGCTTCTGGCATGCATCGGCTTCGATCGCTACCTCGCCATTGTCCACGCCATCCCCAGTCTCCAGGCCCGTCGGCCCAGGACCGTTCACCTCACCTGTGCGCTGCTCTGGCTCATCTGCCTATCCGTGACCATTCCCAACGTGGTGTTCCTGTCCGTGAAGGGAGAGGAGGACAACCCCACCAGGCTCTCTTGTTCTTACAACAACCATGGCATACATGCAAACAACTGGATGCTGACCAGCCGCTTTGTCACGCACCTGCTGTGCTTCATCCTGCCTCTGGTGGTCATGGGGTACTGCTACACTTCTATAGTCATCACTCTTTGCCAAAGCCAGAGAAGTCTGGAGAAACAGGGAGCAATTCGGTTGGCCCTACTGGTGACATTGGTTTTCTGCCTGTGTTGGATGCCGTATAACATCACCATTTTCATGGATACCCTGGTGGTTTTGGGGGCTATGCCTGAGCAGGACTGCCGTGGTCAAGCCTTACGGGAACGGGCGGTGATAGTGACAGAGAGCATTGGTTTTTTCCATTGTTGTCTCAATCCAGTCCTGTACGCCTTCGTTGGGGTCCGTTTCCGAAGAGACCTCCTGAAGTTGCTAGCAAAAACCAAGTGTCTGCGTGTATGCCTGTCAGGTCTGCAAAGAAAAGGTCTTAACAGGATGTCGGTCATAGAGGCCGTTACTACCACAACAAGCAACCAATACATTTAAAAGCAGCTGAGTGTTTTTCTACTTATTGTTTTTCAAGCAAGACACCCCAGGTGAATGGGTCAAAAAAAAAATAAAAAAAAAAGATATCACCATACTTCCCCAGTTGATTGATTACATGCATAATTGCAAACATTTTTTGTATTATATGTTTTCTGAAATGTTATGTTTAAATATGCAAACAATGCATTGTCTAATTAAATATGCACTATTTTGCATACATTTGTAGAACAAAAATCTGAATATTGGATAAAACCAGGTTGAAAATTCTTGTTTCATTAATATGTGTGTGTGTGTATACATATATATATATATATAGAGAGAGAGAGAGAGTCAAAGGTTTTTACAAAGGGGATTTTGGATATCTCTGTTTATCACTGTCAACAGCCAAAACTAAATAAATTGTCCTAAATAAACATTTTAGGAATAACATGTTGTCTAAAATCAGAAACATTTTATATGAACAAACCCCTCTGTAAAAGTCTTATAAGAATATAGATAAGAACAAAACTGTAAAGTGTGGTGTAAGTGTTACTGACATGGAGATTACTTGTTCAATGTAGGAGGAAAAACTCATTTTGGGAAAACGGCCTTTGAATATATATGCTGTTATTGAAATCAACAGACGCAAGTAGATAAAGTGCTCTAAAAGATGCAGTTAAAAGTGTATTTTGAATGTTTTCCTTCCACTAGTCTGAAAAAAACAATTTATGAAAGTCCAAAAATCCCAAAATCTCAAAATTGACAGATGCATGAAAACACTGTTTGTTTCTGTAGTGTCTCGCTTTGCCAGCTATTGAGAATGAGGAGTTGACGTCATTTTACAGTGCCCCTCCCCTTTTGATTACGTGTTTTTAGCTCGGTAGTAGAGGAGTTTCTCGCAATACCGCACTGTTTTACCATGCCTGTAAGTAACTGCTGCGTTAAAAACCGATAAAAACCCTGGTAACCAATAGCGTCACCTACCATCATGGCCGACCGGCTCAGACCCCACCCAAATAGGCACGTGACTCCTCATTCTCAATAGTATACAATTTACAGATTTACCTGAGCCAATCACTGAGACCATGACTGAAAGCACATACACTCACCTTAGGGATTATTAAGAACACCTGTTCAATTTCTCATTAATGCAATTATCTAATCAACCAATCACATGGCAGTTGCTTCAATGAATTTAGGGGTGTGGTCCTGGTCAGACAATCTCTTGAACTCCAAACTGAATGTCAAAATGGGAAAGAAAGGTGATTAAAGGTAATTTTGAGCATGGCATGGTTGTTGGTGCCAGACGGGCCGGTCTGAGTATTTCACAATCCGCTCAGTTACTGGGATTTTCAGGCGCAACCATTTCTAGGGTTTACAAAGAATGGTGTGAAAAGGGAAAAACATACAGTATGCGGCAGTCCTGTGGGCGAAAATGCCTTGTTGATGCTAGAGGTCAGAGGAGAATAGACCTTATTCAGAGCAGCGCCATGACGGGTATGAAAGTAAGGCTGTGAGGGATAGACTTGCCGTGTCTCCAATGGCATCCGCTCTAAAAAGCTGATTATCCACAGCTTACATTGTCTGGAGTTTTTTGTCAACTGAAATTTCTTGGAAAGATATTTTTCCAGTGTTTCATGAGCAGAACAATCCGAAAACACATTAAATAACAGTACAGCCCATTGAAACCATGCATGTCTATCCCTTACAGCCTCGCTTTCATTCTCATTAAAAATCAAAGGTGGCGAATAAGGCGGATGGGCCGACTGATTCAAGCTTATAGAAGAGCAACTTTGACTGAAATAACCACTCGTTACAACCGAGGTATGCAGCAAAGCATTTGTGAAGCCACAACACACACAACCTTGAGGCAGATGGGCTACAAAAGCAGAAGACCCCACTGGGTACCACTCATCTCCTCTACAAATAGGAAAAAGAGGCTAAAATTTGCAAGAGCTCATCAATATTGGACAGTTGAAGACTGGAAAAATGTTGCCTGGTCTGATGAGTCTTGATTTCTGTTGAGACATTCAGATGGTAGAGTCAGAATTTGGCGTAAACAGAATGAGAACATGGGTCCATCATGCCTCGTTACCACTGTGCAGGCTGGTGGTGGTGGTGTAACTTTAGACCCCTTAGTGACAATTGGGCATCATTTAGATGTCACGGCCTACCTGAGCATTGTTTCTGACCATGTCCATCCCTTTATGGCCACCATGTACCCATCCTCTGATGGCTACTTCCAGCAGGATAATGCCTGATGTCACAAAGCTCGAATCATTTCAAATTGGTTTCTTGAACATGACAATGAGTTGACTGTACTAAAATGGCCCCCACAGTCACCAGATCTCGACCCAATAGAGCATCTTTGGGATGTGGTGGAACGGGAGCTTCGTGTTCTGGATGTGCATCCCACAAATCTCCATCAACTGCAAGATGCTATCCTATCAATATGGGTCAATATTTCTAAGGATGCTTTCAGCACCTTGTTGAATCAATACCACGTAGAATTAAGGCAGTTTTGAAGGCAAAAGCGGGTCAAACACAGTATTAGTATGGTGTTCCTAATAATCCTTTAGGTGAGTGTATGAAATAATAAAAATGGGGACAATTTGTTAGTTAAATAATGAATTTCATTAATAAGCAAAACAGAGCATCATCCCTTACCTGCTGTAATGCTTTGCATTGTTTTGAATGGATTGTTATTGAATATGAGATTGTTCTGTAACAAATAATTGGAATTAAAAGAGTGATCTAATGGTGTCTTGATTTTTTTTTTTTTGCAATGTAATCGCCGGTCAAAATCCCCCATTATACACATCAAAAAAGGAAAACACAAAGTAGCTGAACAGATTTTTTTTTGTTCATATTTGTTATTGGATTTCTAATAAAACACAGAATACAGAACAATTGCAAACAAGCACAAATTGCATCTTATTTACAGCAACTATATATATATACTGCATATATATATTATATTTATATATAGATATTTATAAATTACCTTCCACAACAGTTTGGTAGCCAGAATGTAATTAGAACATAGAAACCCAGAGGCTTTTCTCCTTTAACCTTTGCAATCAAACACACTGATCTCAAATATACATATTTTACAAATATCTTAAAAAATGGCTTCAGATTTTACTTAACTGTAATGATAACCCTTAACAGTTGAATTTTCTCCCAATGTTATCTTCAGCATCAAGAGATTGTTACTTTAACCAAAGTTTTTAGCATTCTATTGCCACCGTTAGTCAATGGCAATAAAAACACGTCCAAATGAGAAATAGCCATTAAGAAAGAAGGTTTTTACAGTATTACAGATAAGCTATGCAGTCTAAAAGGGCATGTTGGCCATACTTCCAGGCACGTAGCCCAATGGGCTGTCCAGTGACATGCTCCGTTGTCTAAGACTCTGGGGGCCCATCATGCCAGACTGTGAATGTGGAGGTCCCATCATAGGTCCTTGAGGGGACATGAGGGCACCCTGCTGGCCAAAGTGCTCCCCAGGGAGAGCCATGCCCCGTTGCTTAGCCTGCATCATCATCAGGTTCTGCTGGGCCATAAGATTGTGAGGGTGCTGCTGTGGAGACAGCATGCCACGGGGAGGGTGGGACGGGTGTTGTAAGAGGTTATTGGCCATCATGGCCTGCTGTTGCTGATGGTGGTGTTGTTGCTGAAGCTGCTGTTGTGGAGACATGCCTGTCCTGCCCATCATGTGCCCTGGGTGGCATATGGGCCCCATCCCACCTCCTGATCCCATGCCCCTGGAGCCAATCTGAGGCATGCCCATACCTGGGCGCATCCCACAATGTGAGTGTGAAGGGTGTAGGGGCAACTGTTGCTCAGCCATCATATTCTGTAGGTTAGCAATATGGGGGTTGGAGGAGGGGATGTTGCTGTGGGGAGGTCCAGATGAGGAGAGCTGTTTGAGCAGTTGAGCAGAAGAAGCCTGTGGAGGCGGTTGGCCCTGGTGAGGATTTTGCTGCGGATGGGACATGGCTTCACTCTTGGGGAAGTACTGCAGGGTGCTGCTGGGCTTGTCCGCAGGAATGATACGGGAAAGATCAAACTCAGGAATGCCTGTATGCGAGGGCCTGATGACCTCACTTAGGTCTGGACCATCCCCCATGGACATTGATGTAAAAGTGTCTGGTTGGTGGGGAGGCCGCTGGTGAGACATGCCTTTACTTAGGAGATGCATCTGTTGGGGTGGTAAGACCTCATCAGGACGCTGGGGGTACTGCTGCCCCATACCCCCAATAGGGGAGTGAAGTGGTCCCTGCATACGAGGGAATCCTCCCATCTGGTTTTGGGGGTGCATTGGGGAAACATTACAGGGCCCTATTCCATCTGGAGGTCCACCTCCCATAATTGCTGAGGTCATTCCTGGTATTCCCATAGGGTTAGGGGATGGGAGCATAGGTCCTGTGGGATCATGGGATAGCTGCGGGCCTCCTTGGAGAACCATTCCCATAGGACTTTGCGGACCACTGTGAGGTCCCATTGAACCCTGCGAGGAGAGGAGCATCTGTGTAGACTGGTGATTTCCCATGTTGCCTACTGAAAAAGTGATAACATGTAATGATTTTAAAATTGGAAAAGGTAAAATAATATAACTGGGCATCAAACATTTATTATAGTTAAATATCCATTATCCACTGAGTTCTGGATTCTAAAACAGGTGATCAAATGTAATATCTGTACCTGACATGTTGATTCCAGGTAGGAGGGGTCTATCGGGTAGCATCTCATCATCTGATGTAGCGATTGTTTTGATGGCGTCATGGTAGAGTGGAGTGGAGCTGGGCATGGCATACTTTGACATTTGAGACATTATAAGGGATAGAGGATTCTGGGAGGGAGGGGCATCTGGTGAAGATGTGAAAGGCATGCTAGGATTGATAGAGTTGGTAGGCTGACTGATGGGGGTTGAGTTGGAACTCCTAGGTGGCAGGGACATACCTAATGTAAACAAACAAATGGAGGAAGACATGTAAATCATGTAAAAAAAAAGCATAAATATGTGCAGCAATATGACTTGACTTTGCCACATGACTTTGTGTGTTTCCAATCTTTGTTATCACATGTGCTTACAAAGAATTGAGTCTCACTCCACAATGGTATTGTGCCTGATGAAGATCTGGTTGGTTGAAAAATTGCACTGTTTGGTAAATAAACTCTTTGGAGCTGCAGTTTCAGTGTGTGGACATCTATTTTCTTTGTTAATTCATTGCTGTTTTGTTATCTTGCACCTGAGCCCGATTTGGTTTTCGTTTTTGATGTGCACACATTTTTTATTTTTTTTTTATCATTTTGATTCATATTTCTAAGAACATTTTTTTACCTGTATCAGTGGAGCTGCTCCCTCCATTGCCTGTGACCTTGACACTAGGAGGCCCTCCAGGGCTAGGCATAGCAGTCTTGGGTGAGGCAGTCCAGCCAGGTGAAGCAACAGGCATGGTTGGAGATTTAAGGTGTCCAGGGGAGCCAGATGGAGAGCGAAGACCAAGAGAAGGGCCTATTACCTGGGGGGACTTGATAGAGGTGGAAGAGGGTGTTCCAGCCCCAGAGGCTGCTGGTAGAGGAGGGTGAGATGGGCCACTCTGTGGTAACTGGCTGGGTGATTTCAGGCCTGCTGCAGAGGGTGAAGGCATGAGGGGTGATGGCTCCTGGCTAAGAGAAGGCGATTTAAGCTGGTGAG